AAAAAAAAGAAAAAAAAGGAAAAATAAAAAAAAAAAAAAAAAAAAAAAAAAAAAAAAAAAAAAAAAAAACAAGTACACTTAAGAACAGAAAAGAGAGAAATAAAAACTATGAAAAGCAAATGGAAATTCTAGAATTAAAAAATACAATATTTAAAATAAATATTTCACTAGAAAACCTTAACAGCAAATTGGAGATCAAAGTCAATGAACCTGAAGATAAAAATATAAAATATCTAGTCTGACAAAAAGACTGATAAAAATGAACAAATCTCAATGGTTTGTGAGACAGTATCAAAACTCAAATGTTTATAATTATAATCCATGAAGAGGAGAGAATGCAGCAGAAAAAATGTCTGAAGAAAGAATAGCAAAAAGTCCCCAAATTTGATGAAAGGTATAAATTTACAGATTCAAGAAGCTCAGAAACCCTAAGCAGCATAAACACAAGAAAACCACACTCAAGCACACCTTCCTCAAATTGCCAAAAACCAAAGATAAAGAGAAAATCTTTAATGAACCATGAAAAAAACAACAAATCACACACAGGAGAAAACAATACAAATGACTGGTAACTTCTCATTAGACAAAATGGAAACCAAAAGGCAGTGGAACACCTTTAAAGTGCTAAACCAAAGAACTATCTACCCAAAATCCCATATCCAGCAAAAATAAAGACAAAAACTTGCGGAATTTGTTACCAACAGACTGACACTGCAAGAATACTAAAGAAAATTCTTCAGGTTGGAAGAAAATGATATTAGATGAAAACTCAGATCTTCAGTGAGAAAAGAATAGCACTGTAAATGACAAATATTTGGGTAAATTAAAGAGAACAATTTTTTTCCCTCTTAATTTCATTAAAACACACATGACTGTTTAAAGAAAAATTACATTGAATTGTGGAATATTAATATATGTCAATGTAACACATATGACAACTAGGGCATAAAGTACAGATGGTGGTAAATGGACTTGTAGAATTGCAAAATTCTTAAATTTTACATAAAGGAGAATGTTAACTCGAATACACTACTGTAGCCATTGCCTACCTTCCATAATGACATTACATCCTAACTTCTCTGAGGCCCAAGTAGGACAAGGAAAATAATAAAGCTTTCCTCCAAAGCCTTCCCACAACAGAAGCCTTCTAACATTGCTCATATGAGGATAGGGACTCATGTCTCTATATGCAAACTTTAATATGAAAATGCAAAATTGTTAAAAGGTATTTCTACATCAAGAAAACAAAGAAAAACACCAAACTATGAATGTAATGAGATATATTAATTAAAAATATTAAAAATATATTATTTTTCTTCATCCTCTACTAAATGAGTTAAAATCTATATTTACTCAAGGCTCCCAAAATAAGTTTGGGAACTGAGGTTATTTAACATTTCATACAAAGCAAAATTATATTTGGAAAACTGACCTTGATTTCCTTTATTCCTTTCTTTGATTTTAAAGTTTCTTCAGCAGACTTTGTTTTCTCATTCTTCTTTACTGTTTCACTTACAACTTTTTTTCCACTTGGTATAACTCCAAAGAATTTCCGAATGTCCTAAAAGTAAAAAAAGGAGATTCATAAATAAATATTAACTACTTAAAATTGGGATCCGAACCCTCGGACGGGAGCGCCGCCGCGCTTCCCAAGCGGCGCACTATCCAGTGCGCCACCGGGCCGGCCAGGAGATCTTAACTCTTGACTTGTTGTTGTCAACACCATGCTCTCCCAAGTGAGCTAACCGGACATCCCTATATAGGGATCCGAACCCGTGGCCTGGGTGTTATCAGCACCACACTCTCCCAAGTGAGCCATGGGCCAGCCCTAACTGCTTAAAATTCTAATTTCAATTGTAAAATGGGACAGCTTTACACACACACTGGTTTACCCTGAGTAATTTCTCCATATCGCGATAGTTCCATGTATGCAGTAGCATTCTTTTTATGTACAAAAGTTAAAATTAGGTGATAAAGATAAAATTACCTGAGTTAAAAATAATTTGCCTAATGAAAAGTAATATTAATTCCCAGAATCTGGTCAAAAACAGGGCAAACATGGGGCCGGCCCGGTGGCGCACTGGATAAGTGTGCCGCTTGGGAAGCGCGGTGGCGCTCCCGTCTGAGGGTTCGGATCCCACATACAGACCGGTTCCCGCTCACTGGCTGAGCGAGGCACGGGAGCAGCACCGAGGGTTGCAATCCCGTTGCCAGTCCCTGGTCCGGTACGGGGGCAACACTGAGGGTTGCGATCCGTTGCCGGACACGGAAAAAGATAAAAGACAAAAAAAAAAAAAAAAAAAAACAGGGCAAACATAAGTGAGTCAAATTTTTGTTAATGACAGCACAATTATCAAAGAGGCAAGTAGCAGGTATTTATTGATCATGTGTACACATACACATCCCATCCGCCCAAACATAGCTGGGGAGAAGACAAGAGTTGAAGAATGTGATCTTTGTCCATGGGATTTATACTCCAGTTTGAGAGAATAACTCTCACAACCCTGATCATCCGTAGTAACTAAGAACCTTGAAGTTATTTTCCTTTATATCTTTTTTCTGAATTCTGAAGAAAAACTCTGATGCTTGTTATAATAGGCTCTTTAATTACTCCATCCCCTATGTTAAGCTTTAGAATTCAAATTAATCATGCTGAAACATTTACAATGTAACTTACAATTAAAATCAATCTTTCCTTATCTTTTGCATATTGAGTCTTCCCTACTCTTCCAGAATTTAGTTTTGAAGAATCTGTGGTGTAGAGGAAAGAGAACAGACCTTAGAATCAAAAATTCTTGGTTTGAATCTGTGCTTTAGTGCTTTCTACCTGTGTGACTTTGGGCAAGTTACAGAATCTGAATGTGTTTTCTCCTCAGTAAAATGGGACTAATAAGCCCTACAGTTTATGAAGACTAATTTTGCATCTATCACAATTTGGCTCAGTAAAAACTTTCCCTTCACTTCCTTTCTTAACTATTATGCCTTCACATCACTCAAACATCTCTATTTATAATTATCTCTGCTTATCAACAAGTATAAGGAACACAAAATAATGAGAACTGGATTCAAGAAGGAGCTGTACCACTTTCCCTCTTTCTATCCTTGATGATTATAATCTTGAGTTTTTCAGTACTTTTTACTCCTCCAACCAATCTCTATTGTACGAGAGAAATGCCTACAAAAGTACTTTGTAAAGTGTAAGAAAAGTTAGCAATTATTTCCTAGATCCTGGCAGTAACTGTCTTACCTACTCTTACAATGTCAAAAATCCCAAACAAGTTCGTGACACACACACACACACACACACACACACACACACACACACACACACACACAAATAACTGTGATTAAGCCCAATAAATGGAGCAGATAAATGAGGTACACGGGCATGTTAAATTAAAAAAAAAAAAAATTACCTGGTTTTACAGCCTCTTTTGTAAATCTCCTAATATGGAAAGTTACAAAACCATGCTAATTACATATAAGTCTAGAAAGTACTGTTTACAGAATGGATACCTCAGCTATAAAATTGAGACATTTGCGTCAGGTGCTAAAGAAAAGAAGGATAATAAAGCAAGCCATAGTCTTCCTTATAATTTGCAAAGAATCAAGTTTGAGGCTGACAGCTACTTACTTTATTGCTTCTGGAGGAAATGAGAGTTTCACATCGGAGTTTCACTTTCGAAATTACAGTGATTCTTCACTCAAACAGTGGTGACTGTTTAAACACATGCACACAGAGAAAGAGAGAGCAATAGTGTGCATGTGCCACAGAAATACCAAAACTGTAAGTTAAGGCAAGAATTTTGTTACCAGCAGACCTACACTGCAAGAATGCTAAAGAAAATTCTTCAGGTTGGAAGAAAATGATATTAGATGAAAATTCAGATCTTCAGTGAGAAAAGAATAGCACTGTAAATGACAAATATTTGGGTAAATTAAAGAGAACAATTTTTCCCTCTTAATTTCATTAAAACATACATGACTGTTTAAAGAAAAATTACATTAAATTGTGGAGTATTAATATATGTCAATGTAACACATATGACAACTAGGGCATAAAGTATGGATGGTGGTAAATGGACTTGTAGAATTGCAAAGAAGCAATTTAGCTAAACCACACAGCTCAAGTACTGGTCCCCACAGGAAGTTCCCCCATTTTAGAAGTAAAGGACAAAAAATTAGTTCCGGCAGCATCTCAGGGCTGCCTGGGGACCTGAAGCATGGATCCGGGGACTGGTCCCCCCTCCCACAACCAGGCACAACATCAGCACCAGGGAGCATGCCATAAACATCACCTCCATGTGGTTGGCCCACCACAGCCACCACAATAACCACGGCTACCTCAAAAGCATGTAGACACCACAATCACCACACAGATGGTCCACCAGCCACTGGAGCACATTGATAACACAAGGAGAGTCACCAGCAGAGATCAAAGAAAAGAAGAGGATGTCTCTCTCCACGAAGCCCATTCCAGAGTGATAAAAGAAGCATCTGCTCTACAATAATACTGGGGGACCTGAACATACCTCTCAGCATTGGACAGATCATCTGGGCAACAAATCAACAGAGTAACCGTTACTTTTTCAGAAGGAGAGAAGAAATCTAGGGTTATCAGAGGTGGGAGGAGAGGGGATAGGGAGAGACTGAACAAGGAGAATAAAAAATAAATACAGGGCCGGCCCGCTGGCGCACTGCTACAGTGAGCCGCTTGGGAAGCGCGGCAGCACTCCCGCCGAGGGTTCGGATCCCACGTGCAGACCGGCGGCTCACTGGCTGAGCGAGGAGCGGGGGCAACACCCAGGGTTGCGATCCCATTGCCGGTCCCGGTCAGGTACGGGCGCAACACTGAGGGTTGCGATCCGTTGCCGGTCACGAAAAAAGACAAAAAGACAAAAAAATAAAATAAAATAAAATAAATACGATTTGCAACAATATATATGCTAGTAATATGGATTTGATCAACATGTGTCAATGTTGAACCCCCAAAATATGTATAATCAATTATGATTCAATAAAAATTTTAAAAATAAATAAAAATAAATTAAATAAAAGGGTTCTACAAATCAATAAAAGATAACCCAATAGAAAAATGAATAAAAGCTACTAACAGGCAAATTATAAAAGAAATAAAAATAACCAATACATGTAATAAAAGATGCTCAACTTCATAAATAAGTAGATAAATTAAAACTTGATTATTTTCGCCTAAGTTTTAAAAAATTGATAATGCCCAGATTTGCCAAGGATGTGGGGAAACAGATGCTCACATACTGAATTGCTGATAAAAGTAAAAATTTGTATATTCTTTCTAGAGGACAATACGCCAATACTTATCAAAATTTTAAATGTGCATACCCTTTGTCCCAGTAATTCCATTTCTAAAATGGTAAAAGAAATAAAAGTATGTTTTAGGCGGAAAACTAAGGGAGAGTAATGATTAACTTTTCTTTCCTCTTCAACAATTAATAATTGAACAAATAGTTCTATTCAAGCAAGGCAACAGATTTAGGCAAAAATCACATAAAAATTAAAACAAATTTCAGCAGAGATAACTAATAATGTTTTTCATGCTTTAATTAGCTACTGGATGCAGATTTATGTCTTTTGATAATCCTATGAAGTAAACACAACAAACAGAATTAGAATCCCGTCCCCATTTTACAGATGAGCAAGTGGAATGGTTAAGTCAGACAAACACAGGTCTTCTGTCAGTTTTGCCACTTACTAATGAACAGTTGGGATGAGTTACTTCATTTCTCTTTCCCTTAGTTTCCTTATGATGCCACTTGCCTCACAGGATCCCTATGAGGATTAGAGGTGGCACACCAAAAATCTCCAGAATGGAACCTGGTCCTCTAACTCCAAGTCTTTGTCATAGCTTTCCACTTGACCATGACTGCCCCCTCATAGTTTTCCTGTAACAATAAGGATATCTACATAAGTAGCCATAACTGCACAATTAGTGTGGCCTTTCCCTTCTCATTATTCCTGATACATTTGATCCTTGTATGCATACATGCAGGCACTGGGCCAGTGACTTAGGACACAAAATGAGCATTCCTTTATGAGAGAAATGACCTCATAAAGCTATCTGGGAGACAAATAGTATATAAAGAATACAATACAATGCTAAGACAGAACTAATCACAGGGTTATAAGAGCACCAGGAACACCTACCACAAAGGACCTCAGGGACTGCTCCCCAAAAGAAATAACACCTGAACTGGGTCTTAAAATGATCAGTAAGAGATACATATGATAATCAGAGGAATTTAAGATTAAATATATTTCTGTAAGTTCCATGTAGCAGGCCTGTCTGTCCCACCACTGTATCTCAAATATAGGGCCAGACCCCAGATAAGTAAGTAGATGCTTAATTGATAGGACACATGAATGGTTATTCCTAAGATCACTGACCTTCATACCTGGGCTCAGAAAGAGAGGCTCTTTATTATGTAAAATAAAACTGATGGTAGATTTGTTTTTAAAGATTGTGTATTAAAAGAATCTTTAATTGGGATTAACTTTTTGCTATGACTTTACCTAAATTTTTGT